CACATATTAATTAAATACTAAAAACCCAAACATAATACAAAAGATATTTACACAACCATAAGGAAGAATCCGCGTTTGACACGTGATTACCTCTTCGACGATCCCCCTCTCTGTCGGAGCTCGCGATCGCGCATGAATATCCATGCATGATGAGTTCCTTCTCTGATTCTACGTACCTTTTCTACTCAGTGGAGGTGGAGATCAGATACCTACAAAAAAAGAAGGACAAATTGCCTTTGATACGTCTTTTGAGATGATTTAAGCTTCTTCTTTTGAAGGCAAGAGGCGTCAAGGGATATGACGACGGTTTGCTGGTCTGGTTTGATACTAGATATAACCCAAACTGAAGAAGAAAAAGGAAGAAGGAGAACAGGCTGGTCTCTGTTTTGATTTTCAAAACTCTGTTTACACAGTTTTTTTTTGTTTGTTTTGGAATAATTTGACATTCAATGTAAACAAATAGTTTTTTTTTGTTTACATTCCAGCACTTCTGTCAGTTTTTTTTAAAATAGCTGCCACTGTTGTAAAAACAGTTTTTTTTTTTGTTTGGAATAATTAACATTCCATTATAACAAAGGCAAAAGTTAAGAGCTCATAAGCATGAGAAGAGAAGGCTCAATGATCTTCTTTTAGCTGATGATGTCTGAAGTTAATTTTTCATATTAGAATCTGTGGAATGATACCTTCATGTTTAACGAATGTAATTTACAGTGGATGGATGATCTAAGCTTGCATTAAAAATATACCTTGTTTTTTACTCAATTTCCTTCTAGTTTGATCTAAATGAAGGTTGGGTTTACACGGTTTTTTTCGTTTACATGGTTTTGGCTCGGTTATACTGTATACAGTACGGTTTGGTTCAGTTTAGATAGAATTAAATAAAATTTATGTTTACAACCAAACAAATTTGTGGTTAAACAAATTCATTGGACGCTGCTGTTGTAAAGGAAACAAATCTGTATAAAAGTTTGTACGTTTATCACAGTGGTAAATTTGTAACCAAATTGATACAAATTTGAGAATTTTTTTTTTACCAAAATGAAAAAGTTTAAGGCCAAAGAATAAACAAACTCGCGATGAAGTAATTAAGTGTACCAAACTTAGACATATATGTGGGCAGAAGAAACAAATCTATCAAATTGTAGTTAAATATCAAAATTAAATAAATATTAGATGTTGATCCGTGTCCCAGCGCGGATATTTGATTTAATTTGTGTTCAACGTAAAATCATAAACCACTGATTTTATAAAAAATTCATATATATTTTTATGTTTTGTAATTTACATATAGAGTATAATATATTATTTTATAATATCGATGTTTGATATATCGATGTTCAACAAATCGTGAACTGAGTTTTACTTGTGTCAAGGATATTTATTGGTTCTGTGAAAAAGCTCCAGATAATGAAAACATCAGAAGTTACTGGTACAGGTACAATTTAAGAATCTTTTCCTTCTTCTTCTTGCCTTTTTACAGTTTTTGGCTCTTTTTAGTTAGTTATATGTTCTATTTGTAAATCACACACTTGACAAGTTATAACAAAGGTTACAAAACGTTTGAGAGCAATGCACTAGTTAATAAGATTTGTTTCAGAAATGCATGTTAGTTGAATCATGGTGTTTCTTGCATGTAACGAAAGTGTTTCTTGTGTCACAAAATTAAACATGTTATCATGTCAAGAAACAATTGGAGGTGCTAGGGTTGGAGGACAAAAATGGTGAAGTTCTTAAATAGAATGCTTAACATCCATTTATTAATAAAAAAATGATTAAACACCCCATTAGGGGTGCTATGGTTAATGGTGCTCTAAGGATTCAAGGTTAAGGATTCCTTTTTTCTACCGTTGCACATGCTCTTAACGAATGTAATTTACAGTGGATGGATGATCTAAGCTTGCATTAAAGTATACCTTATTTTTCACTCAATTTGCTTCTAGTTTGATCTAAATGAAGGTTCGGTTTACACGGTTAAACAAACTTGCCATGAAGTAATTAAGTGTACCAAAGTTAAACATATATGTGGCTAGAAGAAACAAATCTATCAAATTTTAGTTAAGTGTTAAAATTAAATAAATATATGAAAATATCAGTATACATCTAATTAAGTAACTCAAACTTAAGTAAATTTATGGACCAAAGAAAATGTAGTTATCATAGTTTTCAGTCGCATCAATCTTGATGCGAACATGTCGAATAAATTTGGGTGAGGTGGAGCCACAAAACGCAACAGAGCCAGCACCCACATGGTATCACACCAAAGAGTAAATTAAGAGTCATAAAATTTGTCAAGATCGAAGCAAATAAAAGATTAAAATATCCAAACATATGACTAGAGAGAGGCAAGATGTAATCCAGCGGTAAATATTCAGAAGAACTTGCAGTGATATATTCGCAGAGCGTCAAAAAGCAGTACACCCAGTACCCGCATGGTAGCCCGACAAAGAAGTAAGAAAGAAGGATATTATTATCCCTGATTAAGGTAATCCAATAAAGGCTAAAAAATGCGATGACATGACCCCGTTGCGGTGAAAACCATATCGATCTTAATTCTTGTAAGCCAAGAATAATGTACTCCAAGATAGTGAGCCCAAGTAAGGGATCCAGATATGAAGAATGGTAAACATGACGAAACATTAAGGCGTGTGCGATTATGAGTAGGGTATGTATGACTAAGGAGTATAATCGTCCTGAGGTCATCCTGTAGATTAATTTACCCAATATATATTAAGACATGTTTTTTTGTTAAAACAAAAATAACGACAGTAATAGTGAATCATAACGAGCTGGTTGTTCCGCGAAACAAGAGACACTCACATGAGGATAAGTCCACGTCCACGTATCCACACGTTTTGTTTCTCTATCAACGTATCCGGCTTCATCTACAAATGCAATATTGATTTAATCAAACTTTAATTACTACATGAAAAGTATATGTTAATATATATATTTCTGTGTGTGTGTGTGTGTGTGTGTGTACACATCAGATTCAAATTAGAACAATAATCAAATATACATACTGTACTTGCTAATTCTTACATGTGGGCAAAAGCTTCCACTACCAGATGTTACATTTATGGCTTGAATTTTCATAATAGATTCTAACAACTAAGCTATCAAGATTTATACAATGGATTCTAATAAAAATACATGTAATCTGTAAAAAATTGACCCTAATTTTTTTGTAGAAGATCCTAAACCTTGGGCACATACCTAGAGACGGACCTGAGCAGCAACAACTAGAAAGTTGATGGTAAGTAACGATTGCCAATTTAATCTCGTTGATCTCTTCAAGATGTGTACAAAGATGATACACATAATATGTGTATACGGATATAAATGTCCACTGTTATTAAATATCTTCACTTAGAAATGAAATTAAGAACTTCAGAAATAATTAAAATTATTTTTTGATTGCCCACACACTGAAATTCATAAACATCGGTGATGGAAATGGATCATAAGAAATTGAGTTAGAATAGATTCACGAAGTTTGTACTAAATATGGCTAAAATTCTAATCAAATAGGCTTTTATGTGCTCAACAGTTGCTGATGTGTTTATATAATAACTTTAGATTTTTTTTGTTAAATCTCATTATTAAATAAAAGTAAATAATATTTATAAGGTTTCTCTATATGCTTTATATGGTTTAATATGGTTATTTTAAAATATAAATCAACAAAATAATTAAGAGGTAAATAAAGAAATTCATGGCATTTTTATGGAATGGATTGAAAGTGTGAACAGATATCAGATTTGTAATTTGCTAGAATTCAATGTTTTATATTATTATATCATCTCAGACTTTTAATTGGCTAGAGTTTAATGTTTTATATAATTATATTATCTCAGACTTTTATATAAATAGTCAGTTTGTGTTATAATAGTTAAGTAGGATATTAGTAAAAAAATTAGTTAAGTACATAAAATTTTAAACATGGTCCATATACTGACGTGTTTATATTATAATTAATTTCATAATAAGATAATAATTGGTTTTAAAGAAATGTATTATTATTAACAGTTAAATATCTTCACTTTATATACTGTGACACTTCTATCTCCATTGAAAGTGATCCCATCAGCAAGTTTTCTATGGATTCTACTCATCAATAAAAATATTTAATGGAGACAAACAAATCTTTTACTTTAAGAGATGGTTCTAAGATACAAAACCTTAATTCAGATTTTTTGTATCTTAAAGTCAAAATTAAGCTTTAATGCATCACTCTGTATAGTAATCCGACCAGATCTTAGGATTTTTGTCTGTCATAATCAAATGGTTAATCATTTTCAAAGTGTCTAATATAGCATATCTAAACCAGAGTCATAGAACAGTATGATTCAATTTGAAGTATAGAACCAATTGATTGAACAGCAAACCAAGTACGTCAATGTCATAAATCATTGAAGCTACTCAGAGCTATTCAATCCAATAAAGCTGAATCAAAAAAAAAAAAAAAGTGGATTGAATTTGGTGATACCAAATAAATCGAATAGATGTCACTTTTAAAAACCGCGGTATATGGATATGGTTCAGTATATATACCGATTAAACCGAAAAAACCAATTAACTCAAATATATAAGTATATACTTATATGTAAGTTTTATAATATAACTAATAATATATACATAATTTCTTTATTAATATTATATTCATATTTAAAACACTATTTTTGTTAATTTTTATTTTATTCTAAGTTAAAATGTTGTTTTTCTTATTTCAATCAAATTAGATAAAACACATTTTTAACTATTGCTAAATAGTTGTGCTAAAATATAATTATTTAATAATATTATAATATTAATATGTTTTTCTTTTTATATTTAATAAACAAAACAGAAGATATCCTATTTAAAAGTTAGAGTACATAATCTATATTATGTTTTGATAAATATGATTTCTATAAACCCAAATTTGTTATAAAAGAAAAATATAGTTTAGATTTTTGGTATAAAACCAAATAAACTGAAAACCGTTAGTATATTAACCGAACTAAACCAAAGTAGTTATGATATTAATATGGTAGCTAATATTTATAATCCAAAATACCAAAAAAAAAAAAACGAACAGAAATCTGGATTGAACAGCTCTATTTGCATTACAAAGTTCTTTATTAAAGCCAACCAGCTGCATTGTTAGCATACAATGAACCAGAGAGCGCAAAACGTTGAAAATCTGAAACAAGGCTGCATCAGGATCTCTGGCTAACCTTGCGTCCTGTTAGCTTCTCTGACTCAAACAACATGTGATTGATAAGTCCCCGAGCAGCACTACCAAATACCAACATAAAACTTTTCTGAATCAATGCAAACTTGTTAAAATCCCATGAGTGCTTGGTAATATATGCACCAGTGATACAGTGCAGCTGTGTGTGTGTATGTGAATATGCTTTAATGAACAAGTTTGTATTTCGGACCAAATATAGCATTCACTATAGACATAGAGAGAAAACAAAAAACTCACTCGTCCTTCAACTTCTGAATCTTCTCCGGGTCTGTCTCATTCATGTGTTTTTTAAATTGCTGCCTCACCATACCAACCACCAGCTCAGTGTTGTGTTGCTGCAAAAGACACAAACGAGTTAAGAGAAAGAAGTTCATTGCCCCATACCAAATCTAGTCAGAAAAAGCCAAAGTCTTTCTAACTGAATCAAAATAGCAAATGCTCTGTCTGACTTCATCTCAAATAGCATTCTCATAGGGTAAAGTACAGTGATAAACTTCAATCAGCATCCATACTTATTTTCAAAAGTGTTGAAATGAAGTTCTTTTATTCTAACATTATCATACGAGAAACCAATTATCATACTAGAAATACGAATATACCAAACAAAACGCCACTGAAAGCAACACAGTAGTGTCTAAATCTGAAAATAAGCACAGAGAATCTCTCACCTGCTTACCAATGAATGTAGCTCTACGTAGACATTCACGGTACAACTATCCCACAAGAAGAGACGAATACTTCAGTAAAAAAACAAGTTAATCTTAGACACAGTGAGTAAATAGAAGAGATGATACAGACCCTAACCACATTGTTAGCGAGCTCAGGAGGCAAAGAACCTTGTAAAGTCGGCATTGTGCTTTAATTACAGTTTAATTTCCTGACACACAAAACTCACAGTTATCAATCAGAAACGTTAAACATAAACCCTAAACCACGAAACTATAAGAACAAGCTTATATACTCTTTCAAGAGATCACCACACCAAAAAGACACATGACTAAAATTAAAAAAGCTCCTATCTTTGTAAAACCCATTACAGAAAGGGAACAGAAAGTTCAAAACTTTGAATAGAATAAATCAATAAAGCATCCAATGAAATACAAATCTGAATCTCTGGATTGTCTACAGAGAAATAGATATATGAAACCAATAATACTATTTCAAAACCAGACACACGGAGGGAGATGTACAAAAAGATCGAGTCTTTACCGGCGAAGTGACCGGAGCTTTTGAGGTAGACGGAGTCACGGAGAGAAGCAGAGCATTCAACGGTGAGAGCTTCTGATTTCCAGATTTCAGAGGACTCAGTTCAGTTGAAAAAGATAAACGGGCCGAAATTATAGGCCCATTAATTCCTCAGGTAAGAGAAATGACTCCACATAGGGCCCATATAATATACTTGCAGGAAAAACGTACAATATTAGAAACAATCGCAGCCATTCTAATGGCTTTTTTTTTTAAATATTGACATCCTACATCTTGGTAAAATAAAAGTCCCACTAAACACGATGGTGAACTTCATCATCCCATCATACCAGTTAAAGTGAATTTTTAATAATCACTTCCACATATTCTAGTTTTTTTTATAAGAAAAAAACAATTTTTGTAAAAAGTTTTTCATCAACAAATTCTTTGTAAATTTTGTTCATTTCCTTTTCTAAATAATTTGATAAGAAGAATTCAATGTTTCACAAATATTTATTTATTCATCACTATATTCAGCACATTATACTTTGAAAATAAAGTCAGTTACAGCCATATATCAACATTTTAATAAAGATATCCTATCTCCACCAAAAGGAGCTTTTCTCGGAAAATAATTTAGATTTCAAATTTCCACAAAATATGCATTTCCCTCTAATACCTTTAACAGTTATCACACGACCAAGATACACAATAAAAGCCCAATGAAAAACAGTTTCAGTTTGCCCTAGATTATGTTCGCAGTCTTATATGCTTTTCACTAGAACACATGAAGATGAAGTCCGACCTTCCATTCGATCTTGAGCAGAAGATACTCGCCAGGGTTCCAAAAAAGTCTCGAGCAAAATGGCAAACTACTTGTAAAAGGTGGTACACTTTACTCCAAGATCTACTCGCCAAGAAACACTTGTCTCAAGCAGGAAGAGAGTTCATCTTATTGTTGAATACTAGTGTTTATTCAACAGTCATCAATCTCCATGGAGTTCATAACAACGTTGATCCGTCCATGGAGTTTGGAGGTAAACTTGGATCATTAAAAGATTCAAAAGATTTACAAATACATGAAATATTTTACTGCGAGGGTTTGGTATTATGCACTATGGTGGGAAACAAAATGCTCGTGGTTTGTAACCCTAGTAACGGTGAAACTAGGTATGTCAAACCTAGTAACGGTTATAGTAGTTATGATTTATATTCTCTTGGATACAAAGGCATCAAGTCTTCTTGCATTAATAGCTACAAGATCTTGAGGTATTGTCGTTATTACAACAACGAACTGAGGCGTACGGTTTCCGAGTTTGAAGTGTATGAGTTTAGCTCTGACTCATGGAGGGTTATATATGTTGATAATCATGAGTGGGACATATCAGCTCGTGGCGTGTCTGTGAAAGGAAAAACTTACTGGGTTGCTAGAATAGATGACAACCAGTTCATACTCAGTTTTGATTTCACAAGAGAGAGATTTGGGCTTCTCCCACTTCCATATGAGAGTGATGGTCCTAATGATATCAGGACTGATGAGCATGAAGATACCGCTGTTCTGTCAGTTGTTAGAAACGAACAACTCTCAGTGTTACATCAATATCTTCATATGTTTTCGCTAGAGATGAAGATATGGATGAGCAATAGGATTGGGACCAAAAAGGTGTCGTGGGATGAGTTCTTGGTAGTGGACTTGGGTGATTTTATGATAGGAGATTTGGTAAATGTTGTAAGTTTCGTTTTGGATGTGGATAATAGAGTGGCAGTTTGTTGTAGTATAGGCAAGGATAATAGTAAAGAAGAGTGTACCAGCATTTTCATTATTGGAAAGAATATATATAGACATGTCTATGGTGAAGGGATTATAGATGGATCATGGCCACATCTCATGAATTATTTTCCAAGTTCGGTTCACATTTTGAAGAAGAGTACGCGCAAAGGCAAAAGGAAACGAATTACAAGGAGGTTAGTGAAATATATTACCTAAGTTTCTTTCTTGCTTTTCTTAATTTGTTCTAATGATCTTACTCGAAAACTTTATATTAATTTGGATGGATGCATATAAAGAAGAGTAGTTATTAAGAAGCTAAACATCATCATCTTAGCTTCATAGATTCATACATTGTTCCTTAGTCTTAAAACGGTATATGCTTAAATCTCACACAAGGATTGCTCTCTTGTAACGAAAACTGCATGTTTATTAATAGACTCTTAAGGTATATATTTTATTATGTTTCGGGTTAGGGTTCTCTTTTAACTGTGTGTGAGCTTTAACAGGCATGAACCGGATGTCATCTCTGCAAGAAGCGTCAAGGAAACGAATGTGACAGCCATAGCCAAAGCCAAACAAGTTCCTAAGGTTGCTTTGAATGTCCCAAAAAGGTCTAGTAAACGAAAATGACCACCATGCCTAAAGCATATTGAACTACTCCTGCTGTTGCTTTGAATGTCTCAAAAATTTATATATATTCTTTTTCTCTTTAGACAACCCCAAATGTTGTAACAAATTGAACGCATCTTATATATATATTTACTCTTAACATATTTCACCCAAAAAAATAATCGTATATTAATTCTCAAAATCAGAGTATGATGCAATGCTTTTGTAGTTCATTTTAACTTTTGAGAATTTACCAATATTTTATTAATTGGTGGTACATTGATACTATCTAATATATATCAGCGTAATGCGAGAGAAGCACACAAACTCCCTGTGGCTGGACTTGCTTTAGAGAGACGTTGGAACACTAGTGAAATGGAGAAGCGTGTGAATTCAAGTCAAAAGGACCAAATGAACTTCATCTCGTTGAGACAATAGAACTGCTTCGTCAATACATACAACTTTGTGGCTTTGCTGTTGGACAAGATAATCTAATCTAATGCTTGGTCTTTGCGATTATCCACACTAAATATGCAGACTCTGTAACGAGCGTACCAGTGACAAAATCTACTACGACCTTTTGACGTTTTGATTCTATTTCTTTATGTCAAAAACTATTAAATGTCACTGACTAATCATAGAAACTTCTCTCTACATTATTTCTAAGAATAGCAAAGTTTTTTTTCTTTTTCTTAGAATAGCAAAGTTTTTCTCTATCTTATATTGGAATTTGTGGTCTAACTAAGAATCAGATACATCAACAATCCTGTCCAAGAACTTGTATTAATAGTTCTAGTGGAAGAAATTAAATCGCAAACATCTATAAATATTTAACCTCAGGGACAATAACTTTACCAAAAAAAAACAACTAACATAAGAATTCAATTACCAAAGATGGCAACAAACATGATGAACAACGTTCTTGTGTCTTGTCTGATGTTTTTTCTAATGATTGGTTCCTTAAACGCAAAATCTGCTGACATAAAAGCAATATGCGGTAAAGCAAAAAACCCAACCTTCTGTAAAAGCTACATGATGAAATCAGAACCAAAGACTTCAGGTGCTGATATCAAAACGCTTGCAACAATCACTTTCGGCTCGGCGCAAACAAGTGCATCAGGAGCTTTGACGAAGATTCAATCTCTAGCCACGAAAGAAACTAACCCCGCTTTGAAGAAAGCATACACCTCGTGCGTGGAGCAGTACAAGAATACAATCAGCAGTCTCGATGAAGCTAAGAAGAGCTTAGAGTCAGGAGATGGTCCAGGGCTGAACATCAAGGTTTCAGCAGCTATGGAAGGATCTACAACATGTCAAGATGGGTTCGTAAATGTCAAAGCTGATCCGTCTGTTACGACGGAAATTGATGATTTTCAGAATATTTGTAGCATTGTTCTTGTCATCTCCAACATGATGTGATAAAGAAAGGGCTTGAGATTCAGACAGATACGTCAAACAGTTACACATGTATATATCTCATATATATAATCAAAAACCTAGTTTCTTCGCATTATTGGTTAGAAAATACAAGAGATTAAGAAACCACAACGTATTCAAAACCATAAAAGCAAACACACATAATCGTTTACACACATTGTCTGATACAACTAACAAAAAGAAAGAGACTGACATAAACACAACAAGGTCAATACATCAATAGGAACATACTTTACTACAAACAAAGATCACTAGATGATGAATTTACAGAGAGGTAGGCGTGTAGTCTGTGATGAACACTTTATCCAAGCTGCCAAGGAGCGTCATGTTGGTGAACTCAAAGTGTAGAGGATGAGCAACGTACTCAGCTACAGTCTCAAATGTGGATTCGAAGATGTGTGTGAAATTTTTAAAAACAATCTAATACGATGAACTTCACCATCCCATTAATTTTTTTTTTTTTTTTCACCATCCCATTAAATTTTACCGGTTAGAGTGAAATTTTAAATATCAATTCCACATTTTTTTTTCCAATTGCGATCATTTTCCACATATTCCATTTTTGAAGGAAAAAAGAAATATCTTGTAAAATGTTTTTTTTGGTCAACAATTTTTTTTGTAAAATTTCTTTCATTTAATTTTCTAAATATGCAAATATATAATTGATGAGAAGAATACACTGTTTCACAATATTTATTTCTTAATTTATTCAGCACATTCCTTTTGAAAATAAAGTCACATACAGCCATAAATCTACATTTTAAGAAAGATATATTATCTTCAAAAGGTGTCTTTTCGGAAAATTATTTAGATTTCAAGTTTCCACAAAATATCCATTTCCAAAAATATATTTAAAATATTTTTGTTTGCCCGAGTTTATATTTGGCAGTCCTATTTGCTTTTTGCCTGGTGAGATATTAGTTCAGAAATCACTAAACCATAATGATGAATTCCGACCTTCCATTTGATCTGGAAACGAAGATACTCGCCTGTGTTCCCAAAAGGTCTCGAGCACAATGGCAAACTACTTGTAAAAGATGGTATACTTTACTCCAAGAACTACTCGCGGAGAAACACTTGGCTCAAGCAGGAAGAGAGTTCATCTTATTGTTGAATACTAGTGTTTATTCAACAGTCATCAACCTCCAGGGAGTTCATAACAACGTTGATCCGTCCATGGAGTTTGGAGGTAAACTTGGATCTTTAAAAGATTCAGAAAATTTCCAAATACATGATATCTTTTACTGCAAGGGTATTATATTATGCACTACTGTGGGAAACAAAATCCTCGTGGTTTGTAACCCTAGTAACGGTGAAACTAGGTATGTGAAACCTAGAAACGGTTATAGTAGTTATGATTTATATGCTCTTGGATACAAAGGAAGCAAGAATTCTTGCATTAATAGCTACAAGATCTTGAGGTATTGTCGTTATTACAACATGGAACTGAAGCGCACGGTTATCGAGTTTGAAGTGTATGAGTTTAGCTCTGACTCATGGAGGGTTCGAAATGTCAAGAAGCATGATTGGAACATATCAGCTCGTGGCGTGTCTGTGGAAGGAAACACTTACTGGGTGGCTAGAAGAGATGACAACGAGTGCAATCAGTTCATACTCAGTTTTGATTTCACAAGAGAGAGATTTGGGTCTCTCCCTCTTCCGTATGAGAGTGATGATCCTGATGATGTCATGAATGATGAGCATGAAGATACCGCAGTTCTGTCAGTTGTTAGAGACGAACAACTCTCGGTGTTACATCAGTATCTTCATATGTTTTCACTAGATATGAAGATATGGATGAGCAATAGTATTGGGACCAAAGAGGTGTCGTGGGGCGAGTTCTTGGTAGTGGACTTGGGTGATTTTGTGATAGGAGATTTGGTAAATGTTGTAAGCTTCGTTTTGAACGTGGAGAATAGAGCGGCAGTGTGTTGTAGTACAAGCAAGGATGATAGTGAAGAAGACAGTACTGCCAGCATTTTCATTATTGGAGAGAATATATATAGACATGTCTATGGTGAAGGGATTATAGATGGATCATGGCCACATCTCATGAATTATGTTCCAAGCTCGGTTCACATTTTGAAGAAGAGTACGCGCAAAAGCAAAAGGAAACGAATTACAAGGAGGTTAGTCAAATATATTAACTAAGTTTATTTTTTGCTTTTCTTTGTTTATCTTACTCAAATACTTTATAACTAGATTTTGACCCGAGATTTTCAAGCGCGGAAATTTTTTATAATTAAAAATTTATATAATTGGGTTTTGTCTTAATTTAAAGAATGTTTGGTATAAAACCACTTCACCAAAATTTGTGGTGATGTTTTTCATTAGTTTTTAGTTTCATTTTTTATTTTTCGATTTTGTTTTAGATATTGGTTTTTGGTTTTTAGTTTTTAAGTTTCTATTTTTGATTTTCAGTTTTTGGTTTGACTTTTTAAATTTTTAAACTTGCTGCATTAGTTTGAACTGATATTATCAACAAATAAATCCCAAATAATCGAACATCTAATTTCAAACTGAAAAGATAACAAATTTTTTTTAAAAAAAATTTGCAATATTTTATTTTGTAAATAAACAAAAGCAAAAAATATAACTTTCGTTTTCAGCTTTTAGTTTTGGTTTTTAGTTTTTAGATTTAGTTTTTGGTTTTGCTTTACATTTTTTTTAAATCTGTAAATTATTTAAGAAAAATAAAACAATAAATTATTTAAAAGTTACCATTGAAATTTATCCAAAAATTATTTTTATTTAAAATAAAAATACATTAACATGTTTTAAAGTACATGATTTAAATAAATGATTGATAATAGAAAATTTTGTTTTGTTAAAAATATTAAATATATTTTGAGCCTGAAAATAATAATTAATTTTTGATCTATTAAGGTGGAAAGTTTATTTAATGTTTTTGGAGTTTTTTCTTAATACTAAGCCCAAAACCAAACCATATAATTTGTTCTAAAAACAAAAGTAAGCCCAAGACTATATCCCATAAATAACCACCGGTTTAATATAAGTAATGCGGTTTAATTAACTATATGATTTGTATTATTTGTAACATTCTATAAATGATCCAAATTTAAATGACAACTTTGTATTAGTAAATAAAAAGAAGGATTCTATTTTAATAGAGTAGATTGCATGAGATGCATGTAGAGAAGAGTATTTATTAAGAAACTTAATATCAGCATCTTAGCTTCATAAATTCATATATACTTTGTTCTTAAAACGAAATGCTTAAATCTCACACAAAGATTGTTCTCTTGTGAAAAACTGCATGTTTAAAAGGCTGCTTAAGCTATATATATATTATTATGTTTTAGGTTAGGGTTCTCTTTAACTGTGTGTGAGCTTTTACAGGTATGGACCGGATGACACTTCTTCAAGAAGCGTTAAGGAACCAAAAGTGACACCCAAAGCAAAATGAGTTCCTAAGGTTGCTTTGAATGTCCCAAAAGGGTTTAGAAAATGAAAATGACACCATGCCTAAAGCATGTCGAACTATTGTTGCTTTGAATGTCCCAAAGCTTTCTATCTTTTTTTTTTTTTTTTTTTTAAGACAACCCCAA